TAATTAGGGAGAGAAACTTACCAAGAAGACTGACAAGTATTTTGTACTGTGAGACAACGTAGAGCTGTGGAAAGAGTAAGAAACACAAATAAAAGGTTTGAAACAAATTACTCCAAGAACAACCAGGCACCCATGTGGACGATAAAGTGGTCACATTATGCATATTCAGGTTCATAATTTTATTTAGAGGTTGTAGCTGAACAGGTTTACATGGTTTCATTTTCAAAAAACACCATATTTTTGTCATACTGCACATTGCTGCAGCTCCTCTTTTCACCCTGTGTGTTGACCGCACTGTTTGGGTTTTTTCACTTTGGAAACTTCTTACATGTACAAAAAATATATATGAAACAATAAAGCATAAAACACAATATGACCTCTTTAACAATACATCACACCTGGGATGAAAAAAAAACTAGAGCTCAGCTGTTTCACCCACTTTGCCTGGGGCTCTCTGTAAGCATGAGAGGTTTTAACCACACAATTTGAAATCATCCCAATCACATTAATCATCTTTGGTATGTAAGTTGGCATGTGGATGGGTCTTCAGATGTGTGGGATTTCCAGATTCATTCCACGAGAGGGAGTATGCCATTGGCAATTAAGAGCCGAATTTAGATCAGACAGTCCGAATATTAATTATAACAGGGCAATACAGAATGTAGTACTACACATTGAAAGTGCTTGAGTTCCCTCACCAGACATCTTCCCCACAGTGTTTTTGATTTGTGCAGAAATTAGTCTGGGGTTATCCTAAACCTCATTCTGCAGTCTTATCTACCTGCTGAATCTTCTTGGAGAAGTTCTTATTGGATTTTTCCAGTGTTACCTCAAACCGGTTGGTGCCTAAGGGGAAAAGAGACATGTTTATCAATGACTAACTTTTATTTGATGCGGGCAACAGTAAGAAGGACTGCAAAGGAATCAGTTGCATCCCACATCCCCTTGGCTCTTCCTACCTGCATCCTTCTTTATTCGGTAGAGAAGAAGATGTCCTGGCTTTGTTCCCACAAGTAGCCAGTCCTCTGTGGGAAGAAAAACTGAAGAGTAAGGTTCTGACAGTTCAAATGATGCGGTCTTAAGTTTAATACACACCTAGAGGGACCAGTGTCGAAGAATAAAAAAGTTGCATAAACATATCGCACTATACATAAAGTAGTGCCTCCATCATTGTTTTTACGAATTGTTTGTGTATTTATGCTGATGTCTTTTATGTGTCATCATATTTGTGCTTGTGTAATTATGTCTCTGCTTATGTGCTCTCTTTTTAAGCGATTCATGCTTTGTTGCATTATCTATGTTTCTGTGTTCTGTGTTGTACTTATGAGCCTGTGTATGTTTTAATACGTAAAACATCAATTAATCGCCCAAGCTTTTATTTGCTTAAATCACTGGACTCACCCTGCCTATATTTGGGGCAGGCCTTTACTATGCCTGTAAATCTGAATGAATAATATATTGGTGATCATTGAAATAAACAATTCAATTGTGGAGAATCTAACCGATCAAATGATGTGTAGCATGTCCATACTGACAAATGTTTAAACATTTATATTTGTATGCACAATCTAAGCAGCTTAGAGCTAGCTCAAGCAAGTGACCCAATGGGCTTTCAGAGGTTGTATAAATCCAGAAAACTTCTAATTGAGACCTGTTTTTATTTATCAATATGAGTAGCCAAACCAGGCCAGGAAAAGGGACAGGCGTCTAATTAGGACAAGGATTTTAATTGAAGTTTTACAGTACTGTCTGTTATGCTATCAACCAACCAGTGACTGCAGATGAAAATAGGTCTGTTTGGCTACATCTGGTACATTTATTGGACTTAAGTCCTCATGTTGATAAATCTGGACTCTCCCTTTTATATAAACAACAAACAAGTGTCAACAACTTACCCCAGGCAGCAAGACAGTCAATTTGAAGGGGAAGCTTTTCCAAAATAGGCACTGATTCATATGCGTCATGCATCTTGAAGCAATATTGCTGATTCAATTACAGACGGCACTGATGGATCAATCCCACACGGAGTTGACGCCTGCTGGGCAACAGCTGACCGACTGACCGCTGATAAATCTGTCAGGATGGTACGCCTTTATGTATCGCCATTAACCGACTGAGCAGTTCCGTGTTTCGACAGGCAATGAGGAAATCTTGTCTGGTACGCCTGGTATCGCACACTTTTGTAATGCTATGCAGTTTGGCTTGTTAGCCACCTAGCTTTCCGACCAAAACAACAGCTGGTTGTTAGCCTGCTAGCTTAGAAGTTAGCAAGCAACGACTTCTGCTCCCAAACATTGTTCCCTCTCACTCCATGCTGGCTGAAACTTGAACAAAGGCAGTCAATCACTTTGTCGGTAAAAGACAAACACAACCTTCAGTTAACTTAATACAAACAGTAACCGCTGCATTGGCCGTAGCGGTTAGTTTTCGTTAGCCAGGTTAGCTTCTTGATACTTCCTCAGCTGTGTTGACGACGGCTGCGCGAGAGAATGTGGTTTGACAGGCACGTGACAGAAGTCAGTACACTCACGAGGAACTCATTAAAGGTACAGCTTGACTAAATTTGTAGTTTCAGCCATACAGTTTTATTTTTATACACTTTTATTCATGGAGGTTTAAAAACAATCATTTACTTGTCGAAAATAAAGACTGGAAACTGCTGTACAGTCTGTGTGATATTGAAACATTAGAGATTTTTTTTTACCTCCATTTTTTTTTAGAAAGCACTTAGGTGCATCAAATCATAAAAATACTTGGTTTTAATTCCTGATTACACTTCCTTCTTTTATATTTGTTGTTTTGTTTTCAGTATGTCTTGTCTTTTTAAATCACTTTAATGTTTCTGCTAATGTTTTTGTAATGGTTAAGTTGTTTTAAGATACATACAGTATACATTATCGTTCAAAGGTTTGTGGGCACTTGTATTTGTTTTACAATATTTATATATATTTGTTTTTTTGACCATTAAAATAACATCAAATTGATAATTTTATATATATTTGTTTTTTTGACCATTAAAATAACATCAAATTGATAAGAAATACAGTGTAGACATTGTTAATATTGTAAATGACTAATGTTGCTGCAAACGGCTGATTTGTAATGGATTATCTACAGAGGCATACAGATGCCCATTATCAGCAACCGTCAGCCCTGTGCTCCAGTGGCATGTTGTGTTTGCTAATCAAAGTTTATCATTTTAAAAGGCTAATTGATCATTAGAAAACCCTTTTGCAATCATGGTGGCACATCTTAAAAAACTTCTGTGCTGATTAATGAAACATCAAAACTGGCCTTTGTTATACTACTTGAGTATCTGGAGCATCAGCATTTGTGGGTTCTATTACAGGCTCAAAATGGCCAGAAACAAATAACTTTCTTCTCAAACTGGTCAGTTTATTCTCGGTCTGAGAAATGAAGATGCTGGTCCTTCTAGAGAGAGTTGCAAAGAATAGCCTTATCTCAGATCGGCCAGTAAAAAGAAAAGAATAGGGCTGAAACTGCCTTGTTCTTTGCCACTGGTTTATAACATTAACAATCTACCCTGTATTTCTGATCAATTTCATGTTATTTTAATATACAAAAAAATTACTTTTGATAACAAGGAATTTTCAGTTGTACAGTAAAAGGTACATTATTATTGTTGTTAATAATAATAATAATTCACAACAGTCTAAGCCACCCAAAACTAACAATGTGTAGCATCTATTAGCAACAATTATATAAAAAAACAATATGCTTAATAATAGGAACCTACTTAAATACACAAAACTGACATTATAACCAAATTTCAATATAAATTTTATTTGCAGCACATATGCAAAAAGCCATACAATATCATCAGCTTCACATTACAATGCAGACTCACATTCAGAAATTGGGTTTAGTGTCTCTTTAAAATAAAATATCCTCAACAAGACTTGAACCCCCCCCCCCCCCCCCCATAAATTAAGTAATTTAAAATATTCACACATACTACAGTAGGTTGCACAAGGACAGGGATATAATTCTGCCAAATAAGGCGAGATTATTTTGCAGTGTGAATGGGATAGGCTCAAAAAAATCTGAAATTAAGATTAAGCATGTGCATTATATATATATATGTTTTAAACTACCCTGTGCTTCTGTACTCTGACCTAATTAGTGGAGGTGTAGTGAGAAATGTTTACATACATACAGTAAATTACATGTATATCTAAATTTAGGCCCAAACCACATCTTTGAGGCCAATCGTTGGGTTTTGTGATTTAATATCTAAAAAAGTTTACAACATGAAGTGGCCCTAAATCACTGCTTTGTGAAATGCTACAAAATTTAACTTTTTATAGAAATAAAAAAAAAAACATCCTTATGTTTAGAGTTATGACTACTTCTGCACAGTCTATGCTTCTGCATGAGAACAGGTCTGGACAATATTTTTTATAAGAGTCAGACATTTTCCCCACTCACTAAGGACCAAACAATCATATTTTCACTTGCTTTAACTGTTCTGTGTAAATAACAATATCTCAGAGGAGTGATCTGGTGTAATGCTCATGTGTACAAAATGAATACTTCTGACGACACTGTGTTTACAATAGTATTAACTTGGCTTTGAAAGAGTTTCATTCTCCCAGCCCAGAGCAGTACTGCATGTTCCAGTTAACACGAGAATCTTTAAAACACAGATGTAGTGTGTTTTACCCTGACAACTGCGATATGCTTCAAGTATCAATATTCACTGATGCAGTACTGTTTACATAGAGTAATCCATGTTCAGGATTACTCAGTTAGCCAGACAACAAAGTGTTAGTTATGTGTTAACAATAAGACTTACATACATAATTTGTTGGTGCAGCTACAAGAAATGAGCTCAGGAAATCTTCACTGGTAAGGTAAAAGCATTAAAACTTTGTTTGTTATCTGGCTAAATGGTTAATCATACCATAAAGTTGCTCGCTCATTTCAGTTTTAAATATACGTCATTATGTGACCTATGAAATATATAGTGCAATAAAACACAAACTGAAAACAGCATTTTATTTATGGCACAGTACACCTCTGAAGATAACCTACAGTTCAAATGTTTCATTCATTGTGTTTGCTCAAATATAATTTTACTATGCATAATAACTTGGCGTTTTCAGCATGTGTTTTCAATCATCTGATTTCTTGGCTGAGACATCCGCCAATTTGTACCTGAACAGATTTGAAATCAGTCCTCACAGTCTTACAAATTTGACCAATCAGGCGATCTGCAATTCAGGTGAGGAAAAGCAGGTGAGGAAACTTCTCTCAGATGTTTTCATGTTCCTCCCCAGTGCTCATAAAACCACACGCCCCATTAAAGTTTAAAACCACAGGACAGGATTTTGATAAATAGTCTATTTTTCACAAGGGCATCGTGTAATTCAGCCAGTTTCTGCTTGACTTGACTTTGGTGTTACTGAAGAAACATCTATGAAACAAATAAAATATTTATCGAAGTCCTGTGCTTTGTAATTGATTCAGTTTCACCCCCTTCACAGAATGCCAATCATGACATTAACAGCCAACCCATCTAACTACGGATTGCACAGTCCCGCCTTAATATAAACACACAATTAATGCTTCTGTGAGCTTTCTAGTGTTACATTGTACCTGTAAAATAAAATAAAAAAAGGAAAGTCTCTGGAGGGAACGGTTAGCTTTGCCCACATTTTTTGGTAATCAGACCACTCAGAACGCATTCATTGACGCCTCAGTGAAATTGCCTTCATTTTATTCTCACGTCATCTTCTCGCTTTTACGTCTATTCCATTTTGGATCTCTCCATCTTGGTTTTCAGGATTTCCTGGAAAAAGAGAACATAGATTAATACATGCACCGTAACGCGATTGTGGGAATGACAGCACAGTAAAAAGGTCATAACCAGGAGCATTTTAAATAGACAAAAAGGTCATTGGAAATCATGGGACTGGCAGAGGGAATGTAAAAGGACCCTTTACCTCTTCCTCATCTAGCATTACAGGGAGAGCTCTGTATGAAGAGAAAAAATGCAGAGGAGGAGGCAGTCAGTTTAGTCACACAGTCCAGGCCTGGGTTAAACACTTTAAGATACTCTCTATAGCTTGTTTGTGCCCCCAAAGTGTTTTAATAAGTATTATATTATTTGAGTATACACAGTATATCTTTCTAGCCTGAGCTGTCCTTGATAAGGTACTGTAAGCTGCATTCATACAATTACATAAACTGAGATAATATGACATTTTAAGAAGGATTACCGTTATAAGCCGATACCTTATTCTCACAAATTCCAGGTTGCGTAAGGCTGTATGTTTTTGTGAAGCCTTGAGCCTGCAGAGACTGTCACTAAGAGTGTCAGCTCAAAGTGACTTTACTTACACATCGGCAACAGTTGTAGGAATGTTCTCCTCAACCCATTTCAGGTCTTCATCCTGGAAAAAGCAGAGTTTAGGAATACAAAATTATTAAATTATGTGTGAAAAAGCAATAAATGGACAGAGATGTTGACAGTAGACAGCTGACCCACCTCTTTACTCAACAGTTTCTGGGAGCCATTAGAGTCAGGCTTTGAGCCTCTCATCTTCATTCCCTCTAAAAAATAATAAAAAAAATAGAGAGAGAAAAAAAGCCCATTGAAATCACATAAGTCTCTTGTCCAATAATATGATTATAAGATAACTAAGTTGTAAAATGTTCCATTTATATTATTATATGCTTACAAGGGTAGCAGTTCTAAAATTATCTGTTCTCCACATATCTGCATGATGAGATTATGGCCTCAATAGCCCCAGTTAACAGGGTTGTCTTTATGGGATCTGAGGTAAATTGTGAGCAGACCTAAATTATTTGCAGATGTGTACATTTATCACAGGCCTTCCAGCAAATTTAGACAAACAGCTGATATCTATATTCATATAAAAAAATTTGCTCTATTAAATCTAGCTTTTACTGGATACTTTAGCTAGCCTGCATATCAAACATGTTTACAAGAAGACAATACTGGGTAGCTGACTGAATAGCATGTTGACTGATCGCAAACACTGACAATATGACATTAAACAAATGCTACATCAATCATAATTATCAGAGACAAAAGGATCGGGGGCCACAAACAGCACAGGCACCTGGTAGCAGAGTGGTTAAGATACATAAAACCACATGCATGTTGCAGAGAGCGCAACAATCAACTGTGCATGTTTGAATTGTATAAAGTAGGCCAAGTCATACAATGCAATCATCAAATGTGTTCAAGTGTTGATAGCAACTGATGCCCGTGAGCTGAGGACATAAGATCTAAAAGTCAATTTCTCTGGTTGCCAGGGCATCCCACTCCACCTATTTCTATTCTAAATACTACTAATAATAGTAAGTCTTACCAAATGCCTCACTCAGCATGGGCTCCTTAGCCTCTTCCTCTTCATCATCTTCATCAATAAGAGGAGAATGGGAGAACCTAAAATAAAACAGAACCAAATTTTAAATATAACTACTAACAACCTTAAATGGGCTCCAGAATCAGCCCCAGGTCCAGATTGACTCTGACCTCTGGCTGTTAGCAGAGGGTCGCAGCAGCACCATGATAACCAGAAGAATGGTGGAGAACAGGAGACGCCAGAAAGCATCGTCTACCCACAAGTCCCTCCAACCCTGTGGAAAGGATAAAAATAGAAAACAGTGAACACAGAGATCATTGTTATCGGTTCACTTTTCATCTCTGTATAAACAAGAAACAGAAATCTAATGAAGGCACAGGACCGGAACACAATACAATGACTAATCAATCAATAACGGAAAACAAACTGACCGTCTGGCAGTCTACCAGCTTGAAAACTTTGGTGGTCCAGATGATGAATATGATGGAAGCTGTGGACACAAAGTAAACACTCATGTCACTTTGATGTCTGTAAACCAGATGCAAATGCTCACCAACAGCCCCCAGAAAAAAATAATTAGAAAAAGTTCTCTCTGCCAAAGGTTTGGCAAACAAATACAAATGCATTTATACACTTTAATATATCAAAAGCAACAGTATAGGACATGCATGTTCAAGGAATTGTTCATATGCTTATTAGCTTTCTTGCTGAGAGTTAAATAAGGAGATCAATACACTCCTACATCTGTACATAAATGTATAGCAGGAGCCAGCAGTAAATTAGCTTAGCTAAGCATAAGGTATAGAAACACTTAGCCTGGCTCTGTTCAAATGTAATAAAATTCAGCTAACAGCACCTCTAAAGCTCACTAATAATTGCATTATATCTCCTTTGTTTACAGAGAAATAGAAACTGAAATACTTTAGTTTCAGATGTTGACCTTGCTAAAAGAATACTCCACCAAATTAGCATTGCACTCCAAGACTCATGACAGACAGTTAAAAAAACTAAGACATAAATAACAATAACTGTGAAGCTGACTTTTTAATTCCACCCATTTTTCTTCTCTGTCAAAACCTGGTGCCGACATTGACCATAATGCAATTCAGGTGTTTACAGTTTGGTCAGGGTTATGCTCGTAGCGCCTAAAGTAACCTCGAGCAACTAGCGTCAGTTTGAGATGAGGAAAGTGCTACAGAGGTCTGGTAAGCTCACTTCTTTTAAACGCTTCTTCTTGAACCTCCAGATGTTTCCATTTTCAAACAGTTGTTGCCTCAATATAACCAGCTCCCTCTGGACCCATACGATGCTTTTTACAACTTTTTTCAGTGGTACGCCCCAACACCTGATAACAGACTTTAATGTGTAAAATCTGTAGAGTTCCCCTTAAACAGATTATAATAGAGCAGCTGTTTCTGAACTCAGGTACAGCTCTACAAAGGATAATCAATATCAGAGCAGTTGCTACTCACCGACAACAGAGAAGATTAGAGTGTTGGTAAAGTGCTGATACAAAGAGAGTTTCACTACATTTCTGCGGAGCTTCAGGAGACGAGTGGTTTGAGACAGACTGATGAAAATGTAGATGCAAATTAAGGAAAATATACTGTATATACAGTAATTTAACCATAATAAAAAGCTTGTATCTGCAATTCTTCTGAAATACAAATCCTGATTAGCCCTGAGTAGCCATTTTGGCTGGTTGGGTAAAGGATATCCACCACATGACACAGGAGTCAATAAGGGAGAGGCTGAGATTGGCCACCAGGGCAACCGTCCCATAGAAACCCTGTAAAAAAGAGGCAAAAGTCAGATTTTACAAACGAAACAAAACACGAACCTAGAGAACAGCAACTGTGTGTGACTGAAAGAGAGAATAATTACTTAATCATGAAGTGCTTTTTCAGAGATAAGCTGGTGTTGAAATCTGGTTAAGATTTAAGTTTCCCCTCTTTGGAGGGCCCTCCAAACGAGTTGTTTGTTTAACTGTTTTTATGATTTTTTGAACTTTCTGCAGTGTCTCTGGCAGCTTTAGAAAATCACTCTTAGATCAAATTTGTCATTCTCTGTTATCATCACTTGTCTGCCTCCCAGAGACTGAATCCCTGCATAACCTTCTCTCTCTATCGCCTTCTCTGCTCAGATCAAATTTATTTATACAGTGTGCCTTGAAAGCTGCACCAGGCAAGAGTTTTATGTAAAAATACACCACCACTATCAGCTTCAATCAGCCTGTGGAGGCTGCATCAGACAATGTCCCATCTGCCCTAGTTGAAATGCAGAGGGTTCATTATATTTGTCTGTATGAAATTCATCTGTGGCACAGAAAATGGTGAATTAAATGAAATAAACAGCAGCAAGAATGTGCCTCCCAGAGAAAGCTAGGCTCAGTGTTAAATCCTTTTCCTCTCTCATCCATTTAGTATATTTTGGGATACAATATCTTCACTGGGTGGTTTGATTGATATAGATTTGGTTGCACCATGCAGGCTATTTATGCCACCTAACAGGATCTACCCGTCGCTGTCATCTAAAGCTAAGTTTAGACTGTGCAGAGTGCTGCCTTTAATTTAAAATCATTTCAAACCTCGCCTTGATCGTAATTATGGTCAGCATTTTTTTCCAGCAAAAGCCATTTAATGTACTTACATTTTACTCAAGCATTGGCAATGCAAACGGCATTGTTCACCTACTTGCCTGCGTACTTTGCGTGTAACTGGAGGATTAAACCTGAATCCACTAGGGTGCAGATCAGGACCGATCATCTCTTGGTGACACCGGATTATCTTCCTTTACAATCTCCGAATTTGCACATCATAAACTAACCAAACATAGCAACACTCGAGCAGGTTGTGATTTTAATGAGACATCGTAATAGTTTCAGGAGTTTTATTGTAAACATCCCACCATAAATCTCCTTTTTTAAGTCTGCTGCTGACCTTCTTCTTTTGGGTTTAATGGTGGTTGGCAAACCAACTGCATAACGTTACCGCCACCACCTGGGCCGGTGTGTGGAACAGTGGAGAGCTGCTGACCTGCCGGTCAGATCGACATACTGCCCCCACGTTCATGTGCGGAATTGCATCTTGCGGACACGTAGTGTTAATTCCTGGCGAATTGCACAAGCTACGCTCCAAAGGAACGCAGGATACGCGTGGCAGCCATCAAGTACTGGCGGGGGTGGTGATGGCGCACAGAAAAGATGCCTGCCTTTGGTGTGAGAGAGTTCAATCCCCCACTGTGACACATTCACCATTGTGTCCCTGAGCAAGACACTTAACCCCTAGTTGCTCCAGAGGCGCGCAAAATCTGACATATACAACAATTGTAAGTCGCTTTGGATAAAAGTGTCAGCTAAATGAGTACATCTAAGTATATCCAGGGCTATAGGAAACGATGCAGCATGTAAATCCAACGTCACTGTTTTTAATTTAAGATCACTGATATCAGCTTCACTGTTCACTCTGTAGTCACTGCTAGTGCAAACCAAACATTTCCTAATTTATTAATAGTCAATACTTAAAAAAAACAGTACTTACACCAGTCACTCTTAGCACACCTTCCACAGAGGAGAAGAGCAGGTAGAGAAGCCCAACAGCTACCAGCCTGTGCACTGTGGTACCCAACCTGGGCCTACACAAGTGAGGGGAAAAAATGTTCAATTATACTGACAAATGATTGAAATGAGAGTATTAGCAGCAAGTCCTCCCAATTTGTAATGACTAATGACTCATCATTTCACTGGATAAATATTTAAAACTATCTTAAAATGGTAATAGAGGTAACGTGAGGTAACAGGTCAGTTTTAAAAGAGCGAACTTACTTGACTATGCCATAACCAAGACTGACAATGAGGACCAGGATTCTGGCTAGAGATCTTTTGAGTGCAGAGAGCAGCTCAGCAAAAATCACAGCACCTTGAACTGTGAAGACAAAAACACACAAACAAAATGACGATTATAAACAGGTTAAAGTGTAAGAGAAAAGAGAAAAAACCTTATTCCACAGACAGGCCAATATATTAAATCAACCAACCGTAGTCTCCTTTGTAACGGATGCTCTGGTATTCTGAGTAAAACACAGCTTTTTCCAGCATGCCCAGGATGATGACAGCACCGATCCAGAACTGGATCCGCAACAGATCCCTCCAATAGCAGGCACACCAGAAGAGCCAGAGAGCCCCAAACAGCACATACACAATGCACATGATCATGAAGAACTGTGATGGAAAGGAGAGAGAGAAAAGCATAATATGTGCAGAATATGGAGCTTGAAGATTCATTCTTGGCCTTGGAAACTCAACCAAAGGTATAACTTTTTGTTTCCAAAGCTTTCAACCACATACAGTCCACTCCACTGAGAAACTCTGTTCGATGAGGAAGGCCACAACATGTGGCTGGAAGCTTCAGAAACAGAAAGACTGTTTTGTAAAATATTCTGTATGTTTTGATTTGAAAATCTTTATGGCTAATATGGTTTTGATTTAGTCGTAACCATAATTTGTCTTTAAGACTTGTTTCTTTTTATTTAAAAACCCTCCCTTTATATCATTTTAAATATATACCATCATCAGGGGCCAGTCTGCTGGAGAAGAGTAGTCATGTGGTCTCTTCATCTCAACTACCACTGGGGAGAGAAAAATAAAAAAGGAACTTCTGACTTCTCGCTTATTAGATTTTTTACTCTTTTATATTTACCAATGTATCTACTGAGTAAATACGATACATTCTAATGTTTCTGAATTGATTTCTCACTTGTAAAGGCAAAGTTGAGGTGCTCTGCGTTGTCTTCATCCTCAACTCTGTATAAAGGTTGCACCTTCACTATGAACAGATATGGACTGTCCTCCCAAGCTTTGGCCACTGCACCGATATCCTGCAAAAAGATGATTGTGAGCAAATTATGATAGGGGTTATTTATACTTTATATGTACACCCACTAAAACCATAAATGAAGACATTACCTCAATATCTGAAAAGCATCAGACAGAACTGAATGTTTCCGGGGTCATGGTTTGATATCGTAATACTGAATTACTTATGTGATCTCTCGCAATACTTTTGCGTTAGCTTGCAATACAATTTGCATTACTTGAATTTGGGTTACCTCACGACACGAGGCTAGAGTGATTGCACCATCAACTGTGGCTGATTCTGTCCGTTTCAGAGCAGCAAATGTTACTATAACTAGTGGAAGCTTGTTAAAATTGTTCCCTACACGTTGTCATAACCGGCTGCCACTGTGGCTGCGATTCTGACAGGCTGCCAATGTGATCATGACTATAGCTACAGGATGGCTACAGCTTTGGTCGCTGCTGTTACTGTGATTATGTCTGTAGCCATGACTGTGGCTTTTGACTGCTATGACGACCAAAGCTGTGACATATTAGTTTTTGAATGGGTGTATCAATGCAGGGGCTGTGCAGTGAGGGGACATGGCTGTGCTGAGTGGGAGAAGCTATTCCTGAACACTTGTGGTGTACAATATGATAACATCTGTCATATTGGATAGAAGAACCAGGAAATCTCAGCTACAGCTGCTTTCTAGGCTAATGTTAGTAGGAGCAGTAAAGAGAAGTCACAATACAGCTACCACAGTCATATCCATAGCATCACAGAAACAACTACAATTAGAGTCCAGAGCCAAACAGAGCAGATACAACAGCATTAATGTCAGAGCTCGCCCCTTACAAAAGGAGTAATAAACAATAAAGGAATAAACGTAACATGCCATATCATCTCTCTATTCTGAAGCATATGCAGATCGTTACTCTAAACTGACTGTGTATCATAACTAGACTGGTCACAAACTGTTCCAAGGGGTATGCAAAAGAAGTTCAGGAAAAACTATTCCCACTGTGACCCTCGGGAGCTCCATGGGACATGAGCTACGATATGAGCTCTGATAAAAACATATATTTAAAGACATTTACATTAAACGTGATAACAACATGTACTTACTGGCTTGTCAGGCCAAAAAAGCGTCTGATTTGATGGGTCACTCTAACCAGAACAAAGAACAGTGTTAAATTGGACAGACAACACAAACAAATTTTAAAAACAACCCCAATGCTTCATATTACAGAGTATTTAGATATTATGGTCAATCCATCCATGATCAGTGACTCACCTTTGGGCTAATGAGGGGCTGATATGGGTTGAAGTCTGCATAATACACCTAAGTGAGATGACAGAGTAAAGACGTTTTTATGGAGTTACCTGAAATACCCAAACATTAGATAACTGCAGCACTAACAAACACTGAGCTTAAACTTATGTACATAGTGATGATTAATTGTGTAAGCCTTTGTTTATGTACTATTTATTTTAAGATAACACCTTTGTCTTGGTCACAAACCTTTGGTAAGAAGAGGGAGGAGCAGTTGTCAAAGTACATATAGCCCTGACTGTAGAAGCCACTCCAGCCGTCTTTCAACATGTGGTCCATACCGAACATGTTCATGGCTTTGTTGTCCTACAAAGACAGTAAGGGGAATTAAATTACACTGTTTGCAGCCAGTTAATTCTCTTAAAGTATACTGATGTTGCAACATTATACCAAATTAATGGTAATGGTATAAATTATCAAACTGTGTCAACTGTAGACTCAACAGGCAGAATACTAAATTTACGATCCAACAGTGGTTGAAAGACAAATTTTCATTCAACTACAGATGGAGGTTAAGTCTTACACAAGTGAATGAGCAAATTGATCTGATTGTTTCACTTTTTTTCCAATGGATATGTCCCAACGTTCTCTGGGTGTGCATTTTTATATAAAAAATCCACATGTATTACAAAATATTACAAACTGCATGTGGCAGTAGTTTTTCATATTCTATATCCAGTTTATTTATTTTATATAGACTGCTGTGTATAAAAGCTGCACCAAACAACTAAGTTATTAAAAAGAACACCAAAACCACACAACACTGCATATTTCAAAACAGAATATGAGGAGTAGTAATGAAATCAGCATCAATGTGCAGTTTTAGTAAGACCAATGAATATCACAGTGTTCATTTTTGTCCCAACTGATTTTCTTTTGATTGTATGGATTTCATTTTGTGATCACTACAAACAGCTCAACTTCACATAGTCCTCCAGATACTTTCAATTCAATCCATCCCACTACGTTGGTATATTCCTTTACTAGTGGAAACCTATATAAAACTGCAAAGATTAGATATCAGTCAGTCCATAAGAAACATCATTGCTATGTGATTCCTCTTTGGACAGTGGAGAGAAATTCTAATTTATTTAGGCCTTATAATGCCTTAGCCTAAACAACCTACTAAAAAAGTAAAATAAATGTTGAAAGAATAGTTGCAAAAATCCAAATCACAAATGTGGCTTCTTTTGTTTACACAACAGATTGGTGGTAAAACTGCACATCTGAGGCACACATTAGCTTGACAGTACACTAATGACAATTGGAAATAAATGTGCAGCTTTTTAAATTGAATACTTAGGTCTTATAAAAGGAACTCAACCGAACAGTTAAAGTAGCAGGTAGTTAGACAGCTTGTTAACTTACTATTTGCATAATTTTAGACTTTTGATTTCATTAAAAATATAAAACATATCGTAAAATGTATCACAATATCTTTTTTTATTTGGTGAAAAGCGTTCAGGACTTCTTCACTACTTTCTTGTCTTATCTGCCAGTAAGTGAAGAACAAAGGAGAAAAACAATGTCTGCTGCTGTCGACTTGCTTGAAGTCAGTCTTCTTATTTCTTCTTTTTTAAAAGAATGCTTTGAGTCTGACAGAAGAAGACACTGACATTTCAAAACACATCTGAATAAAATATGTTCTGATCAGGCTACAGGTGACCTCAAAGCCGAAGCAGCAGCTGAGTTTGAGACACTTCTGGACAAAAAGCTGGCGCTGGCACAACAACGTGATTGGAGCCCAAGGCCATGAAAACACTTTCAGATAAGACCCACCAGCTGCTCTGACTGACAGATTTTGATGCAGAATGTGAAGCCAAAAGCCCTGAACTGGTGAGAAGTCCATGAATTAAACTTTCAGAGTGACAAAATGTGCTTAAAAGCTTGAAGATGTAGAAAAACATTCTTGTACAAAATCTACAAAGTGAGGATTGATTTGAATTGAGTGCTATTGATTTTCAAAACCCAATTTTTAGCGACCACGTCTACAGTACCTGTGTGTAACATTAACGTAAACAAACAGTTGAGACTCAGAGATCAACAGACAAAATTCAAAACTTACTGGTGTGTTAAAGACCTCATTGTAGCAGACAGAGGAGCGCAGGTACCAGCTGATGTTGAATGGTAGGTTTCTATCACATGACGCTGCGTCACCCTGGACTGCAGAGATAAAAGACGACCAGTTATTTAAAGGGTGGAGCTGTGGATTATTAGACAGTAATAAGGCCTTAGTTCCAATCAGCTGTTCCAGATCATCACATGTCAACTTGTAATGAAAGCATTACAGGAGTGTGTGTTGTAATCTACATTTTTGTGGAAATTCTTTTCCCCGATCTCCCACTTCTGGTTTAATTTCAATAGGTGACTTTCACTACTCCATGTTGCTGCATTGCATCCTGGTCTATTTTCTGCTACCATGGGAGAAGAAATCAGTCTCTTCACAGTATTATGGATTTTTTTATTACTTTTTGAGTGGTGAAAACTGATGCAAACTGCAATTTATAGAGAGAAGAAATAACCTTTCTGGGGGACTGACAAAAAAACCTGACAATTAAAATTAAATGTTATAGATTGTATTTCCTCCTACCAAACTCCAATGCAGATTTGCTGAATATATCGCAATCTAGACTATGCCTGGTACAGTACATTACACCTGACTGAAATAACTGCTATAACAATAAATAACATAGTCCCCGAGATAAAAGTTACATTGTGTTGAAGAGTTTTAGGGTAAATTGTATCTTCAAAATGTTTAGATTCCTGAAACTGAAATTTTTTAAAATTAACATAGGTCAAGTCGAGTCACCATGTGGACTAATGGAAAATCACTATGCTTTGGTTCAATGAAGAGCACTATGCAGAGAAGAGGAGACTTTTCAACCATGATAGTGTGACTCATCCGCACGGGGCAGATAAAATGCTTTCCAGCATTACTTATTATTTCAAACACTGACATTTGTTTGCAGTGCCAAGAGGTTCCCTGAACAGGTTTTCCCGGAAAATCTGCGCTGCAGGTTGCTGGTCATCTGACTTATACGTAATGTTTGGAGTTTAGTCAGTGGCAGTGCGAGCAATAAACACATCGTGATACATGAATTTGAGCACAACAATTCCATCTGACATTTATGTTAAACTCAACAGTCTCGGTATTGTCAAATATAAAAGGGTTTTGATTTCTTGTGATAGAAGAGTTACTGCTTTTTATTTGATAATAAACTAAAAACAACTTTATGTCTACTGTAAGTAGGTCAAAACTAAGAAATATGAAGCCAAATCATCCTCCAGGCACTGTATAAAAATTCAGACAAAGGAGAGGCAGAGAACACAAAGGGCCTTTCTGTACATAACTCGTGTTCCCGTTGTACTCTTGTATTGCTGTGGCACAACACTGACTTGGGTCAAATGCAACAGACACATTCTGATTGTGGTTTGTTTTAGCTTTTGAATTTTGGTGCCTGGTGGGCAGAATTTGTCACTTAGGAAAAGATAAAGAGTGCCAGAATAAACACCACCACCAATAAGGATGTACTCTACCTGAGTGTTACTTTCCTGTGACTCACAACTTCCCTGGCAGTACAATAATGAATGTCTCGTAAAAGTAAATATTCCACCTATCAGACAAATAACCTTTGTACCTTATAGCTTAATATTTATATTAAGGTTACTGCAGATGCATGAAGTAGGCTATCCTGTGTAAATGCTATCATCATTGTTGGTGCATATGTCCCAATCGTGTTTTAGGGAAGTAAAAAGACAATGCATGATGAAGAGGTCAGACTACTTACACTTCATGAAGATGGTGGTGTTGGTATATAGCGTCTTTCGAAACACAGCATCCTGTGTCTGAAAACAAAGAGATGGCACTTACTACAACAATCTAGCTCAGTGAATGAAATGTTAATATCAACACTCCTGTTTGGAATCACTTCAATCCACATAACATTTTCCAGAGGAGCTAAATATGATTACCAACTGAATACAACACAGTTTTATTTTGTGAGATGAATCGTGAACAGTAATCAACCATTGACGGATTTAAAGTGCATTTGAAACTACAAATGTAAAAATCTAGCAAAACCTGTTAATGGATCTACAAAAGACATGCCATATCTGTAAGAATGTGCTGCTAGGATAAGTGTGCATGTGGGTTTCACAGCTGAAAAAGACAATCAGCTGTACTGGACACAATATAATGTACTAACATTTTTTGTATTTTTTCATATGAGGAACCTCAAACTTTTGGCTAAAAGGCATTAAAAAACGATTTTGGTGCAGTGTAAGATCAGCTGCAGATGACAGCTAAAGATTGTGTGAAATGCAGGTATAACATAAACTGTATTCTAGGCCAACATCAGTGGATTTTGAGGGTGCCAGATAGCCTATATTAATCCATACTTGAAGGTGACTACTTCTTATAAATATCTAGCTACCGAGAGGTTTAATTACCCTTGTTATAACCACATCAGCGCAGACAGTGGTACATGCTGATGGATTTTTTCCATGTAACCTACCCACGCAGTCTATTTCCTGAAAGGATATACTACCCTGGTTCCAATTACATCCAAGTAAGGCAAACACATTTTTACTTAAAAGTACTTAAAAGTATTGGCATCAAAATATACTTGAAGTAGCAACTTCTGCAGAATAGGCCATTTCATAAGAATATATATTATATTATTGAATTATAATTATTTATGCATTCTTGTGTACATCACTTTAATGTTTAAGCTGGAGCTAATTTTAACTAATTTTATATACTTTATCTACTAGGTAGCTTGCATTCACAAGGGGATCAATACAGTTTATCTTAATATAAAATGTATTTGTTATTTATATTTTGTATTGTTAATATGAACATCTAGTAGTAACTAAAGTTAACTATAGTAAAAAGTGCAATAATTCTCTGAAATGTCATGGAGTAGATGTATAAAGTACCTCAAAATTGTACTTGAGTACAGTACTTGTGAATGTACTTTGTACGTGATTGCTTATTATGATAAATGTTTCCCTTTCTGTCAAGACAAAGTACAATACTTATACCCCCTTCTGTCATGCACTGAGGTAATAACAGGTTGAGCTAACTATGGTAGCTCCATGAAAGACTTTTCTGACAAAATGGCCTTCGTTTCTTTTAATTACACATTATGTCCTGACAGATGACATGCCTTTACCACATTCCACTGGTAACGTTAGCATATTAAGATGTGCACTGGTATCTAGCAGGAGGTTAAACCATAATTGATATGCAGAGTTAGGACTTTAAATTAGGGTACCTTTAAGCTAGCTCATTATGAACGACAGGCTCATCTTGCCAGACTATCTAAATCAGAACTGTGTGTCTAAAAGGTGGAACATTTAGCGGAATTAAGGGTTGCTCTGGGCTAGTTAGCTACCTTGGCTAACACCTTGTATGGTAAGATTTAGCATGACAGGCTGTGTAATAACCGCACAAATGCATATTGAAGGCGTAACACCCACCGAGTTGATGTCCACCTTCCATACGGAGACCTCTGCCGCTGTCCCGAAACGGAAAACTAGTGCAAAAAGCAGCAAACATAACCGATGAGCCTGAGCATCTGGCATCTTCATTTGAGCATCTACTAACTTACAGGTCAGACTCGTATCCGCCTCCAGTTCCGGGGTGCTTCTTGATGTAGTTAACACCGTCACCACAAGATGGCGACCGAACAGTCGAGAGACAGTTAAAAGACGGTGGGAAAACGGTGGTTGCTCACAAATACCTGATTGTAAACAAGCTGAAGGGAGTATCATTTAGAAAGATTCACATCACTACATGGTTACATTTAAAAGAGACATCAATACAAACCCAGAAACTGTTTTCCACCTTACTTGGCATTGTTTCCAGAACAATTTGTCAAAACTTGAGCAGATTCATCATTGACCATATTTATAGAGATTTTGTGGGGGAATGTGGTATTTTGCTAAATAAAGAAAATAAGTACTTTATAAAAAAATTATTCATTCTAATGGCAAAATTCCACATTCATAAATGTAAATTCAGCAGTAAAAAACCTAACTTTGTACTTTTTTTCCGTGAGGTTGTGCATTAACATTATGTCAATTTAATTTCCAAATGCAACAACAAAAAGGCTGTGAAAACTGTAACATATGATCCTCTTTTAATATCTTTATGACATAGGCAAAGTTTTAGTTCTCATTATTTGTGTCTTATATATTTTTATACTGTTATGTATACCCCTGTTACTGTTATGTAAACTGTATTCCCCTATTTGCAATAAAGATTTTAAAAAAAGAGATTGCCAAGATCTTAAGCCAAGATCTTATGAATAGCCTATCCCTTATTATTGTATTAAATATCCTTACTTCTTTTATCAGAATATACTGTATAGTCTATATTACAGCAAATGTAGAATCATTAAGGCAATTTTAAAACAAATTATTTTGTTAAAGCAAAAGTGTTTTTTCCTAAAATGTATAGCTAATATTAGCTGCTATAGCTAGCTAATCTTTCATGTTAGCATGTTAGATGTTTAGCAATTACTCTATTCACACCCCCACCACAAACCATTAGCTAAATAAATGGGAGAAACACAAATTGGAAATAAAAATAGAAGCACTAAAGTCCAATAGGAAGAGCTGTGCTTGCTAGTTTTCCAGTGTAGTCATCATTTCTGGTATTGATTTGGAGTCACTGGGTCACATTACATGGAAGGTATTGAAAACAAATGTACATTTTCTGTAAAAATATTTCCATAAAATAGAAGAAGCTCTAAAATCCAGTGTTAAGAGATGTGTCCTATTCCAGTGTAATAATACTTCCTAATATTGATTTTGAGTCACTGGATCACATTATGGTAGGTATGTAAAATAAATAAATTATACATAAGCAATCAAAATGAGTATGCACGAGGCCAATTTAGTTTAGTTTTTTTAATCACAATGTTCACTAATATTGACAGGTCAGAATGAAGGTAAAAAAAATCGGCATTGTTTCATTAAAACAACAATTTATTGATGGTCCCTAAATCAGTTCTCTTATGATCAACCACCAGGTTTATCACAGAGGTGAGCTAACCATCCTACTGCAAACACTGGGGCACACTGAGGATCCTTCACTGTGCCAATCTCTGACAAATTAGTTTTAGTTTTGTGTAATATTTAATTTTAAGTTAGCAGGCTAGCATTAGCTTAAAACATAGTGTAAAGCACATTTCAAAACAATTTTGTGGAAAGTTCAGCTGTGTGGTGTGTAACGTTACCAGTAAGTCTTCTGGCCCAGATGAAGTTTGTTTGTCTGTTATTTCTTACGTATATCACTGTTTGTTGTAACTTATTTAGTTGTTCGATTGTCCACAAGGAAATTTAAATTTGTGTTTTAGAGGACACCCTAAACGTTTCAAGAAAGACCAAGTCTGCACTTTGACGTTTAGTTTGAAAATCCCCACCGGAAGTCTATCTTCATTTGCTCGTGCTGTCAAAGTGAAAGAGAGCCGACAAGTTGACACGTTTTTATATACGGTCTATTGTTTAGACAGAAAAATAATGTGTCGCTAGTTAATGCTCTTACCAGACGACCACAACCGACAGTTAACGGCTGGCGTTTTCTGTCTGTCTGCACGAAATGGCGGAAGTGAGCCAACCCGTTAGGTATAAACAGCAAGCCGTTTTCAGCAGCTCTGCAGCAGCGGCCTGTTTTATCATTGACCTTTGACTTTTCAACATTAAGTCTGTGTAAAAAAAGCCACTTGAGGTACTTCGGTCCCCTTTGGGACAATGTGTTGATAATGTCTAGTAATATTGTCTAATGTTGCTCCGTGTTTACTGCAGCAGGAAACTCCCTTGCATTTCTGATTACAGATTTGTCTGTGCATTTAAAGTCTATTCTAACTCTAGCAGGTAACTTAACAAATTATTTGAAAGGTTAATGCTCAAAAAATATACATGGTTAGAATAAATTTGTATAAGTAAAAGTAATTTTTGACAGCCAGGAAAAGGTTTTGTTACCCACCCTGTCCCTGGTATGTGATGTATTCCTGTTTCTCTCTGCTTGTTCCTCAGTGTTGTCCCGGAAGATGAAGGGAGAGAAAAGTTCAAGAAAAGTGACCATGTTGCTTTTTACAGGTATGTTGAGCATTTAATATACATTTTATAATCCACAATGTTTATTAATAAATAGGAAAAAAATCACCCACAATGTGTTCAATAGGATAAGTCAGTACTTTGCAGGACCATTTTGAAATGTGTAATGCATTGCAGCGTTGATGTTTATTGTCACTTTTTAATTTGAGGCGACAGATCCAGGGCCCGAACTTGCAGCACCGAGCCCTTTTGGACACCATGGTGCTCACAGAGAAGGGGGCGCGTTTAGAACTGTTGGAGCCTGACTCACAGGTCTGAACAGCAGTATTTCTGTAAATCAAAACCAAGCATGATCTATTTCTTTATTCCCACTTGACACCATTTGATCATGTGCCATGTAATAAACAAGCTCAAAGCTAATGGAATATTTGTGCTGTTTTAGTGCATGTCTGATTTTCGTTGAGAGAGAGAGAGAAATATTTTGTGATTAAGATGAATAATTGCCATAAATATCTTCAAACAGAAGTAGACTGTTTCTAATTAGTATTTCTGTTTTAATTTAGGTAATACATGTAGATTCAGATTACTTTAAAAAAAGTATTAATAAACTGTTAAATTCACTGAATTGTGCATAGAAGCCAAACCCAAACCCTACGTCAATGAAATCCCCTACAGGTGATAATAATCTAAGATAGCTAACTATGTAGGAGTTGTGTAATATAATTATCTCAGATATACTTCACTAGCATTGTTAAAAATGCAGATAAAATCTGCCCCCAGTATCTATAATAAAAAAAAGTGCAGAACTCCTAATTTTATAATACATCACAGTGGCTTGTTCTAATATCTTAACTACCCTTTTAAATTCTACACTGAAAAAACTCTGGCTTTGCTCTTTTCACAGACCAAACTGCTTCTTTCTGTGTCACTTTGCAAAAATGACACTGTGAGGATATTAATAGATGAACTTGAGCCTGTTAAAGCGCGCTACCGAGTTCCAGATGTGATAACGGGGGGACTGCAGTGCCAACAGTAAGAGCTGCATCAGCATCATCTCTCTATTATGATATCTCGTTACACAAGCAATGTTCTTTCATACATTTTACAAAAAACATTTACTCCTTTTCTATTTGGCCTTTCTCTGATAAATGGAAAGGTTTGTGTCTGTTGTGTTGCACATCTGTGATTCTTCTGTGGGATGTCAAAATAGGGTTTAAAATAGGTTTTAAGTTAAAATTTAAGGGTGTTTCCAACCTCAAATGTTACAAAACTTTTTCAGATGGTGGTGACATTGTTTTAACTGTATCTTAATTTGTGTGAGTGCTGCAGTACTCGGACAGTGGTTGAACTTTCCCCTCCTCATCTGGCAGGTTGAGAGTGGAGAGACAGTCCAAGGACTCTGTCACCCTTTCTTGGTCTTCAGGATGTCACAAGATTTGTGTGTGGCGTTTCCCTTTCCGACTTGAGATCCTGTGCGAAGACGACGTGATGGTTACGTTCAACACTAAAGGCAAACTGTGGTTTGAGACACTGCAGGATCCACCCAGGTAAGGATTTCAGGGAAAGGTTGTGTACTGGAAACAAATCAGCACACAAGGAAGTTAAATATTTTCTTTGTGTCTTTCTCCCTCAGGGCAACATCTCATGTAAGTAGGGTAAGAGAAATTCCAGTGTAATATGACTCCTACTTGAAGCCTCATCTGACCTATTAATGCCTTTGTTCTTTTTCGCTTTGTTCCACTCAACAGCTTCAAGAGGACCACTCAAGTTCTTTATGGAAAGAGACTTTCAGGCAGTTTGTGGATGTCAAAGCTAATGGTTTGTTTCTGCTATTGTTATACTATTTTAAAAGGCAGACTTTTAAAGTGATTCTCCACTGTAGTACAATGGACTGGAGAGAAATATTGTTTGTATTTCTCCTTAATAATTTTTTTTTTCAGTAAAAATTATTCTGTCAAAATGTAATTTTTTTTATTCCGTCTTTCACAATGTCAGCTGGGATTGGCTCCACCTCACTGTGGCAGAGCTTGGTTTCTCTTAATAAGACATGAGCTCCCCTAAAAACACACACACTTGTGAAATTTTGGGTGGTCTTATATTGACAATATGCTATTTTTGCCATGCATTTTTGTTTTTCTCTATCTTCATCATCATGGGTCATGTGTGGATGTTTCTGCCATTAATGAGACTGACAGCAAGGTACACAATAGGTTGTGTGAAAACAGCCTCTCAACGCTAATTTTTTTGGATCTTAATAGACCGCCTTTGGCAAATTTCGGCCCAACATCCTTTATGACCCCCCACACTCACACTCACACACACACACACAACCAGTCAATATCCTCTGTACATTGTGGTTCATTAAAGCTCAATTAGAAAAACTATTTATCAACATACAGAAATACATAAATAAAAATACGTCTATTTCATCTCCAGGTCCCAGTAGCATTGGGTCAGACCTCTGTCTCCATGGGTTCAGTCATGTGTACGGTCTACCGGAGCACGCTGACAGCCTCCAGCTCAGGGACACCAGGTACACACATGTATTTTTAAGTAGCTGAGAAGGAGGTTTATA